TATTATATTTTTAATATCTAAATCAAAAAAATATTAAATTAAATATTAAATTGGAGAATGTACCAAACATTTCCCAAATACGGTATTGGAGTGTCGGTGAAAACCAAAAGAAAGGGACAAGTCATAACCAACCAGATCCTCCACTCATATTCTGTCTTTTTGTTTCGGTTCTTTTTGGGATTTATACTGGATTTAAGATATTTTGGTCTAACGATTATTATTTGTTTTGGTGGATTTATTTTGGAAACATGAGTAAATTAAATTTGATTTTGTATTCCTCAATTTTCCAAAATACTTTGATGACAGAAATCAAATTGTTTAAATTTTTTTTTTCTGATCCAACTTTACAAAAGAAAAAGAATTGAAGACATGAGCAATCTCCATTTGGTTCAATGGTCAGCGGTGGCCATACTGTTTATTGAATAGCAGGTGTAATGTACCTAATTTTAGATTTTATCATCTTACAAAATAACAGATACTAATGTCTAATCTAATTATTTTTTTTTGTCAACAAAAAAGAATCGAAGACATGAGAATTCGACTTGATTTGTTTGATTAATCTTTAGTAATTTTAGTAAATGTTATAATAACACAGGAATTAGCCTGGCGCCCCTGGAGGACCAAAAACAAAAAAAGAAGAAGAAAAATTTGCACCTATTGCTAGTCTCTATTGTGCCCACTAACATGGAGAGTATGGATGGGATTCTAAATATTTTAGAATGACAATAATTAAAAACAATTAGAATATTAGATTTTTTTTGGGAGATTTTATATTTAAATTTAATTAGATTTTTTTTAAAAATAAAAGTGTAATTACATTATTATAATTAATTTTATTTATAGTTTTTTTTTATTAATAAGATTTGATTTGATCATCCTTTAATATCTTTGAATTAAACAACATTAGGGGTACAATTAATTTCCCATATATATAGATGAACGAACAAAATCTCCACGCTCGGGTTTGCGTTGTTTTTATTATTATTTTTTTTCTGTGTTTCAAGCTCTTTTTTGGGATTAGCCACCGAGAAGAGGAAAAAGGAAAGGGGATCCGATTTTATTAGATAATTACTAAAATTTTTTAAAGTTTTGATATATTAATTAAATTGCTCTTAACTGTATTATTTCTTTTTTTTTTTTTCCTAGGCACATTAATTATATTGTTTGTTATCGTTTAAGTACCTTTATAAAAAAGGGCATTAGAGCGTCGGTGAAAACCAAAAGAAAGGGACAAGGCATAGCCAACCAGATCCTCCACTCATTTTCTGTCTTTTTGGTTTGGTTCTTTTTTGTGATTTATACTGGATTTAAGATATTTTGGTCTAACGATT